TGACTAGGGGTGGCATCGCAACCTCCCGATCGCCCTGCTCTGTGCATGACAGGGGGCGGCGCCCCAACTCCCCAATCGGCCCTGCTCTGAGCCCGACCAGGGGCTGCACCTAGGGATTGGGCCTGCCCTCTGCCACCCGGGAGCAGGCCTAAGCCAGCAGGTCATTATCTCCTGAGGGGTCCCAGACTGCGAGAGGGCACAGGCCGGGCTGAGGGACCCCCTCCCCCCCCCCGCGCCCTCCCGAGTGCACAAATTTTTGTGCACTGGGCCTCTAGTATATATATAAAACAAAAAACACAGAGAGGAAAAAAACCCCACCTTGAATGAAGCCTGGCCATGGTTCAGTGGTTGAGCATCAACCCAAGAATCAAGATGTCACCGGTTTGATTCTCAGTTAGGGCACATGTCCTGGTTGCAGGCTCCATCCCCAGTGGGAGGGAGTGCAGGAGGCAGCCGATCAATATTTCTCTCTCATTGATGTTTCTATCTCTCTATCACTCTCCCTTCCCCTTTCTCTAAAAGTCAATAAAAATGTTTAAAAAGAAAAACAAAGAAAAAGAAAAACATGAAGGAAAAGTTAAAATACAAATACAATAATCCATCACCTGTCAAAGTAGTTCCAGGATGAAAATAGAAAAAAATGGGGAGGGGATGAAATAGTATACAGATTCATAGAAGAAAATTTCCCAGACTTCTGATTGAAAGGTCATGACAACTGCCCAATACAAATTTAACAAAACCGCCCTAACCTAGCCTGCGGACTGAAAGGTCCCAGGTTCGATTCCGGCCAAGGGCATGTACCTTGGTTGCAGGCACCTCCCCAGTGCGGAGTGTGTGGGAGGCAGCTGATCGATGTTTCTCTCTCATCGATGTTTCTAACTCTCTATCCCTCCCCCTTCCTCTCTGTGAAAAATCAATAAAATATATTTTTAAAAAAACCAAAAAACAAATTTAACAAAACCTACATGCAGACATATCCTCAATAAATTTTAGAAAAACCAGTATGAATAGAAGATAAAAGCTTCTGGAGAAAAAAAAAACAACCACCAGATTTCTTACAAACAAATGAGAATTGGGTAGTAAACTTTTCATCGATTGCATTTGATGTTGTGAGACAAAGGACCAATGCCTTTAAAATTCTGAGAAAAACTGAGTATTATTCAGCCTTAAGAAGGAAATTCTGATATGCTATAACATGGATGAACCAGGAGATATTATGTTAGTGAAATAAACCCGTCACAAAAGGACAAATATTGTATGATTTCAGTTGTATGAGAGTTATCAAACTCACAGAGAAATAAAGTAGAATGGTAGGTGCCAGGGGCAGGGAATGGGGGAAAGGGGAGATAGTGTTTAATGGGAATAGAGTTTTTTTTAGTTTGGGAAGTTCTGGAGATGAATGGCGGTGATGGTTGCACAACAATGTAAATGTACTTACTGCCACTGAACTGTACACTTAAACGTGGTTAAAATGATAACTTTTACCACAATTTTAAAAATTAAAGAGTTTTCCGAGGGAAAATTATTTTGAACTTGAAATTCAAAAGGGCAGAATAAGAACATTTTCAACAAAGCAAGGACATAAAAGTTTACTTCCCATATACCAATCTAGCAAATCTTCAATATATGTAATTTCATTAAGAAACCTTTAAGATAAATAACATTTTATATATGATTTTAGAATTTAAGATGGAAAGTTTAAATGTTACCCATTTACCCAGGGAAGACAATAAGTAACTTTAGCTTACCTTTTCTGCTATTATTATGGCAAATGCTAAGTTTAAACTATCCTAAAGAACTTCTGGAGGGGCTCCGAATAAAAATAAAACACACTGTGGGGCCCTAGCCGGTTTGGCTCAGTGATAGAGCATCGGCCTGTGGAACGAAGGGTCCTGGGTTCCACTCCAGTCAGGGGTACATACCTTGGTTGCAGGCTCCTCCCCAACCCAAGCCCTGGTCAGGGCTTGTGCAGGAGGCAACTGATAAGTGTGTTTCTCTCACATCGATATTTCTCTCTGACTTTCCCTCTCTCTTCCACTCTCGCTAAAAATCAATGGAAAAATATCCTTGAATGAGGATTACCCAAAAAACAAACAAAACAAAAATAAAACACACTGTGGGGAAGGTTCTTCATCAGACACTGCCTCTGAGATCCTCCCAGGTACCTCTTCTTTGAAAGAGTCAGTTAACGTCATTTTCTCCATTTCCCCCTTTGCCGTTCACTCTTCAACCTGGTCCATTCAGTCTTCTATCTCTACCACTGCAGTGAAACAACTCTTATCAAGGTCACCAGCCAATGTTGCCAAATCATATCCTCATCTTTCTAGACCTCTCAGTAACACACTCAACTCAAATGGCAATTCTCTCCTTGAAACGCTTTTTCTCCTCGTCCCTGGGACTCCACATACTTCCATTTTGTTTCTTTTCTTACCTCATGGCCACTCCTCCCACTCCTGGAGTTTTGTCCTTGGACTCTTTCTCTTGCTTCTCCACTTTCTCTCCTGCGGTAACCACTCCAGGCTAATGATTTATACTGCAATCTGTATAGCAACAATTCCCAAACATTTCTTACCTTTGAGCTTCAGAGACCACTTAACACCTCTCCTGAGTGTGTCACAGGCATCCCAAACCTGCCAAAGGAAAACTCCTAACTCCTCTCTACCCGCAAGATAGTCCCCATCTCAGGAAATGTCAACATCATCCATCCAGTTCTTCAAGCCAAAAGCCTAAGTGTCAGTGAACCCAAGGTCTCTAAGAGAATATGCTCTGGGTTAAATACAACTCCATTATTTATACCTAGTAACTACATGATCTTGGACAAGTTAGGGTTCTTATGAAAATGATGAAAACACTTACAACAGTAAATTATTCTTCTTAACTCCTCATTCTCTAATTCCCACCAGTAAGTCCTATCATCAATTCTACCATCAAAATATCCTCGATCTGTCCACTTGTCTCCAGCTCCATTACTGCTACCCTCATACAAGTCACTCTCATCCCCCCAAACATTACAGTCGCCTTATTAATGTTCTCCATTTCTGTTCTTACCTTCATGATCCACTCGCCACATAGCAGCCAAAGTGATACTTTCAAAATAGATACCAGATGTATCTCCTCTGCTTAAAACCCTCCAATTTATTCCCTAGAGTATTAAGGTAAAATCCACATTCCTCACCTTGGTCTCCAATGCCCTACACCCGTGGTTCACAAACCTAGTACATATTAGAATCATGATGGAGCTCTAAGAATTATTCATGCTTAGGCCCCATCCTGGACCTATTAAGTCAGAATCTCAAGATGAGATGTCCATCTAAAATTTAAAACCATGTAAGTGATGGCTATGTTGAAAAACACTGCCCTCCTCGTTCTTCTAGTCACGCTCCTGTTTACTCACTGCATACCTGCTAACTGGCCTTCTTACTTCCCCTCGGGACTTTGCACTAGGTATTCTTCCTGCTAGAAATCTCTTCTTCAGAACTTCTCACAGGTGAGTCCTTCCTGTTAATCAGTCTCAGCCTAAATATTAGCTCCTTTATGAGACCGTCTCTGACAGCCAATCTAAAATAAATCACTGGATAGCACCTTCATTTTTGTCAAAGCACTTAAATATATTCATTTTCTTGTTTGTTTATATTATCTTTCTTTCTCTACTAAAATTTAAGCTCCAGAGTAGTTTACAGGAATTGTTCATTGCTATGCCTTCAGAGAGCAAATATCAAGCAAAAGAGTAAGTGTTCAGGAAATATCTGTTGAATGAATGAATAAATTAACAGGCATGGTTGGGAACCAGCTGCCTCAAGGCTGCCTTCTATAGCTTAAGAATAATATTTATTTCCTTTTGTTTTAAAGGCTATTCCATTCAGAAAGGCTGGGCCCCAGCATTGCAGCACAATTCTGTAAAGGAGCTGAAGGACAGAGTCTACATCAACCCTAGACCTACAAATCACCCCAAACCCTTACATTAACCATTTACTCTACATCCCTTCCCTTGTCCTCCCTCTAACTTTTTCACCAGAATTGCCAACAAATTAAAATTGACTGATTTAATGATATTTAATTTAGTTTCCACACCAAGATTGTGGCAGACAGGTTACAAAGAAAAAAGTGACTTGGGTGTAATGAGTAAGAGAAAGCAAAAGAGAAAAAAAATCCACCTGTCAGACTGCCAATTTTGTATTGGAAAGAGTTTTCCAATCTGAAGTTTGACACTTCAGATGAACTGCTAAATTGAGCATGAAATACTTCCCAAATAGATAAACATAAAACAAGGTCAAGGTTCCCAAGACTATCCCTTACTAAGGACTAGTGGTATCACTTTCCAACTAGAAGTGAAGCACTACCTTTGGGATATCTCCTTTAATACCCGGGGGCAGCCGCAGGACCCAGAAGTTCCTGTTCCTCAGCAGGTTCTCCATGTTCTCCAGCCGCCTCTGCAGCAGCCCGTACTCCTGCAGCAGGGTCCCCAGCACGGCCCACTTGCCCTCCAGCTGGTTCCCGAGATCAGCCACTGTCTTTTCACAGCTGGCCAGCTTCTTCTCTGTTGTCCCTGTCCGTCCTTCTAGATGTAGGAGACGCCGGCTGTGCACCTCCACCTTTCTCTCTATAGCCTGCACAGCTGCCACCACTGTCCACAGGGAGATGGCTGCAGTCTGCAGGTGTGCCTCGTTTGCTCCTGGGGGTGTGGGGAGGGGAAGGGGCTGTAGGGACGTAAGGCATTCGGAGTCCCATTCAGAAGTCTGTGTGCAGTGGAGAGATGAGACAAGGCACTGAGTGTTAGAAGAAGCCCTAATCCAAACTTAAACGAGATAAGAACTGCTTAACTGGCTATCTGAGATTCATCTAAATATAGTTTGATTACTGCTTGCATATGCCTCATCTTCATGGAGCTCATCAGCATCAAAAGTCAAGAGAACTGCTTTGATGGGTCAGGGATGGATTAGGTCAAGACAGTGAGTGAAACTGGATCAAGAACCAGCCTGGCATATTCCCTAGAATTCAGTGGTTCTCAACCTTGGCTGCACATTAGAATCACCTGGGAATCTTTTTAAAATCCTGATTTCTGGGCCTCATTCTCCAGAAATTGTTTCTTTGTTACTAATGTTGTGGTCTCACCCCATAACAAAGAAACAGAATTTCCGGAGGATGAGGCCCAGAAATCAGGATTTTAAAAAGATTCCCAGCTGATTCTAATGTGCAGCCAAGTTTGAGAACCACTGCCTTAGATGCAAGGAACTTTAGCCAACTGTTCACAGGCTCAAGATTGCTGCTGCATTCTCTGTCAGTGGGAAAGGCCTACATGCCCCAGAAACTTTCCAGGTTTCACCCGGCTCAGTGTGCGTACCGACTTGGGCTCTGGCCCTGTCCACCACCCTTCTTACAAACCACAACCATATGTCCGGCCGGTGTTGCTCAGTGGTTGAACCAGGAGGTTTCGGTTCGATTCCACTCAGGGCACATGCCTGGGTTTCGGGCTGGATCCCCAGTGCAGGGAAGCGGGGGTGGGGGTGTGGGAGGCGTTGATCTGTGGTTCTCTCTCATCATTGATGTTCCTCTCTCTCTCTCTCTCCCTTTCTATCTGAAATTAATTAAAACGTGTTGTTTTTTTTAAAAAAAAACAACACAACCATACTATTCAGTAATAGCTGAACAAGCTTTGAAAGTTGAATCTGGAGAGTTATAAAACAGAACATAATATACTGTATTACTCCACAAGGCAGAACTAGAACCAACATGGAATTTTTAGGCAGACAAACTTTGGTCTATATAAGTTAACTTTTGAACTAGGTCTTCTAAGAAAGTAACAGGCTATCCCATCACTGAATGTACATTGAAACAGTGTATTTAAAAAAAAGAAATTCCTATAACAGGAGGTTGGATGAGCATGACCTCTACAAAGACTTCTGATGCTATGGTAACCGGCTCTGCGGCCACAACCTCCCACTTCTTCAGCTCACCCCCTACCTTATTTTCATTTCACCTGCTCTGCATCCCACCAAACCCTTGGCCATTCCATTTGCTGCTGGTTTATCAGACTGCTCCCAGCTTTGCTTTCCTCCTCAGCTGATCACTTCAGCCACTTTCAACCCTGTCTTTCTGCCTCACCTGCTGGGCTACCCTCTGGGCTGGAATCAGTCCGATCCTTCTCGTTCTGTTTTTGCAAGCAGGCTGGTAAGTCACAGAACCAGGTAAACTGGTGTCACCACACACCAACCGGCCATCTCTAAGCTCAGCAGGGACTCAACACTGCCTGGCAACCCCCATACTGCTTTTCCCATCCCATGTGTGGCCACTACAAACCCCAGCCCCTCTCCTTACACTTTTTGCTACAGCGCTCCTCAAACTAATGTGCGTAAGAATCATCTGCAGATTTCATTGAAATGCAGACTTTGAGTTAGTAGGTCTGGGAGGAAGCTTGAGATTCTGCATTTTAACCAGCTCCCAGGTACTGCTGCTGCCGCAGGGCCCGCCCCTCAGGCTCAGATGACATGAAAAAAATTAGATAAAAACTCTCTGAACGTTTTCCTTTTTCTTCACACCCCTTCCCACCTCAGACTCATTAATAACCTAACCCATGCTTTCTTTTTTCCTTCCCACAGGAAAAAGGCTCATCATATTTAAAACTAATCTCTCCACTTCATGCTCCGAATGCCAACTCCTTCCACATTTTTGGGTACGTTGTTTTTTTGTTTGTTTTTTAATTTTTTAAAAATATATTTTATTGATTTTTTACAGAGAGGAAGAGAGAGGGATCGAGAGTTAGAAACATCAATGAGAGAGAGAAACATCGAGCTGCCTCCTCCTGCACACTCCCTACTGGGGACGTGCCCGAAACCAAGGTACATGCCCTTGACCGGAATCAAACCTGGGACCCTTGAGTCCGCAGGCCGACGCTCTATCCACTGAGCCAAACCGGTTAGGGCTGTTTTTTAATTTTTATGGTCAACATTTCTTCTCCATAAGATAGACCCACATTGTTCAATATGATAGCCACCCGTGGCTACCGAGCACTTGAAATGTACTTTTTCTGATTACTATGTGCTGTGAGTATAACATACACACCAGATTTTAAAGACTTGGTATGGGGGAGGGGGGAGGCAAAGCTCGATTAATTCCTTACTTTTGACCACACTTTGAAACATTTTGTATGCACCGGGTTAAATAAAGTAGATCATTAAGATCCACTTCATCTATTTGTCTTTACTTTGTAAATGTGACTCCTAGACAGCATCAGGTGACACATGCGGCTTCCGTGGTATTTCTATTGGCCGGGGCTGGCACACACGTGCTCACTTCTACCATATGTTTTTGAAAGACTGGAAAAGGAAAAGAAGACCCAGAAGCAGAGCTGGCATCCCCCTGTGCCAGCCCAATGCTACTGCTCCCTCTTTATCCTCTGCTTTTCTCATTCCCCAGTCACTCCTCCATAGCCCAGCCTGGCTCCTGACCCACCGGGACTGCTCTCCTCGGGGGGGACCAAAACCTGAGTTCGCAAATGCAAGGCCTATTTTTCGGCCCCATGTAACCTGTCTAGTCCCTGCTCATTCTGCCGGGGTCTTGTGTGAGTTGTCCCCGCAGCCCCGGCAGCAGGCGGAGAGCTGGGGGCGCAGGCCCGCAATCCACAGGCCCAGAACAAACACTGACAAGCCC